GCCCCAAAACAAAGAGAAATAAAAGCACAACATAATCCTTTCCTTAAAGTACAGTGTGTACACTGTTGTTAACTGTTTTAAAGTTTTGTGATACCTGTACTACTGACCTTGAATCCCTGATTGAACTTTTTGCATCTTTTTCATTCTTCAACTGATCTTGATATGAAGAAATAACAAAATTAAATACTGTCATTTGCCGTTCTGTGGTCTTTAGAACCTGTTGTTTTAGCTGTGCCACGATATCGTAATGTTTGGATTTAAGCAGCTCTGACTTAAGCCGCTCACACTGCAAAGATAAGACTGAGATGTAAGACTGCAGAACTTGTACTGTTCCTTGGAGAGTCCTCAATGAAAAAGTGGATGATTTCTCCTTACTCTTTTTGCTACTTTCACTATGCAAATTAATTCTGAAATACTCCAGGGAGTCTGAAAGTAGTTTTAACGTTGGTGAAGGTAATGTGCTACAGTTCAGGATCTGGGAGATTAGCTGGTTACTTTCGAATAACATCTGCTGAAGAGATTCTTGAGTTTGAGATTTCATAGTAGAGTTAAACAAAATAGCTGCCTTGCAGACTAAACACACACAGCAACAAACTTGTGGAGGTATTTGTAGTTTGAAATGCCCATTTTTGAAATGGTTTTCAATTCCGGCAGTTTTCAACAGTTTATCAAACACAGCCAAAGCTTCTGTTGAGTTTCCAGCCTTATTACAAATTCTGCCATAATGAAATCCAAGTTCAGCCAAGAGAACTGTAAATTCTTGTCCATTTGCTATCAGTTGTTCTTGCTTGTTCACGAGTGCACTAAAAATGGTTTGAAAGAAGCTTGCTAAGGTTTTAAAATCAACATTCTTGGGCCCACAATCCACTTGAAATTTTGTCCCACATTTCAGAGTTCTATCCACTAAGGATTTTAGTGAACAATGTACATTTGCTTCTGCTTGAAAAAGTAATGAGAGCTTTCTCCATTCTAACACAACACACAAGTGTGATGGTCGTTCCCCTGGAGGTACTTTTGCCTCCTCAAGCTTCCCACCTCCCTGAAGTAACAAATCAGATGAGCGTAAATAAAGTGATCCAATTTCCTTGTCCATCTTTTCAATGTCGTAGCTCTTCCATGCCTTAAGAATCTGGATGAATTTATATAAGTCATTAGCATGATCCAGAGCCCTTTCAAACTGTGCCTTGGCAATGATCTGAGCAACAATAAGGTAAAGTGTTTTTGCAAGCTGATCTACTGAAGGAATACACTTCAGGTAGATTCCATGATGGAGTGATAAAGTGTTGTTGAGAATTGTCTCCACTGAAATATGAACAAAACAATTTGCAAGTTACATGTAACTTTATAGCCCTCTATTAATCTCACACTTAAAGCAAATGTGGTTTGCTAATTGGACAACTTATATTTGACGATATTTAAGCCTTACTGGCCCTGGATTATCAGATAGCACTTTGTTGCGCCCTGCTTGCAACACGTTGAAAATGCTATTTCCTTCCACTGCGAAATGTGTTGTATGTGCCTGGGAGTATGAATATTCTCGCAAAGCTGTTGTCAGCATCACAACTGACTACTTTCTGAGTAAGTTGCAGACAATAAGTAGGATGTAAATTTTTATTCCTATGCATTATAAATAAAACTCATTTTCATTAGTAATGTTTTGCAGCTGGCCCCATTTTCAGAGTAAGCATTAAGCATATTTTGAGAACTCAGAAAAGACCTAACCTGCGAAAACATCCGTTTCTCCTCGCTCTTCGCCGCTGGGGACGTTTCACGTTGAGGAACTTCTGCGACTCAGCTACAGAAATTCCATACTGATGACGTAAAATCTGTCCGGAATCCGGTCAGAAGCGCTGATTGGTCGACGGGGTAGTTACATTGTTTTAGCTATTGTTTACGAAGGACAGTGTTGACAGACAAAAGACAAAAGGCCACAAAGGTCAAATGTAAACGTCACGGAATCTCTAACAAAACAGTCAATATTTGTGGAATATAGTTTTCTCTAGAAGAAGTATTTGAGTTTTGCTGGAGCTCGTTGGTAGATGAACACAACAGTATACCAAAATCGACCAGAAGACACATAAAATTGGACAAATTTATATTTAGAACCCCATGACTAGTGGATTTATTATGTAAACATTGATTTGCGTCATCAGTATGGAATTTCTGCCGCTAAGTCGTAGACGTTCCTCCACGTGAAACGTCCCCAGCTACGAAGAGCGAGGAGAAAAGGATGTTTTCGCAGGCTAGAAAAGACCTTACGCCCAAACAACAACTAAGGATGTTCACATGCTTCATCTTACCTAGTTTCAAGGCATCTGTGACCTCAAAAAGGCCTTTTTGATTGGCTTTCACCTTTTTCAAGGTCTCTATAGCACACCTCAGGAACTTGGTACAAAAAACGGCGTACTTTGATACAGTTTCCTCCGTAGCTTTGGCTCCTGCTTGGCAGCCATTTTTGTTCTTTAGCGGACATTTCAGTGGAGGAAGGTAATTCTGCAAGTCCCACCAAACAATATTAAAAACGAGTCGAGGTTCGCGTTCAAGTGACACTCATTCTAAAACCTGCTCATGTAGATCCGCTCGATTCTTGCAATTAAAGAGTGTAACAAGACGCTCGCTTTGAAATAAACTAAATTTTTATTCAAGGAAACGTTTTTGAAAGTGAGTAGCCTTACAAATCGTAAGTATCTTCGCTAACTGAGCTACAAAGTGTCTTTAATAAAGCTACCATAATTTTACAGCTTGGTAAATTAATTTAGCAAACAGCTAAGTAATTGTTCAACTTACCTTCGTATCCTCATAAAGACCATCTGTCTCTCCGTTTAGAAGTGATTTGAGGATTCTTTCCCCTTGCATGTTTCTGTGAAGCTCTGCCCATTACCAGTTCGTTCATAACATAGTGTTTTACAGCACACTTTCGATGGTGAAACTCATCAAACGAGTCAAAAATGGCGCCTTCCTCTATCGGAACAACGCTTGATCCCAGGGTACCGCGCATGTCAAGAACTACGAACATTTTCAAAAGTTGCGTGACGACTGAGCCATTCCCGCTGTTACTGGCTTATTATTTTAAATTATTAAGACTTTTTTGGTCCTGTCAGCCCAATTTTTGCTTGATACAACATTTGACTCTAATTATAGTCACTTTCTTCACGTCAAATCAGGAGCCTCGAAGTTCTTCGATTAGCGGGAAAGTTTTCAAGTCGCTTTTTTTCAGTTTCTTTTTATTAAAGTTCTTTATAAGTTAATTTTTTGGCAATCAGCTTTTAGCTTAGTACAGCGATGTATAATTTCTGTGTTGCCCTCGCAACGTGGGGCATTTTTGCTAAAAATGACAAATGTCTGGTGTGGAATTGCCCCGGGTTCCAGAGGCTTTTCATGCGCGGTTTCCGGTTTTGGTCAAGTCTTAAAAAGTGACCCGCGCGAAAAGTTTTTCTCGCGGCTTCGCCGCTCGTGTCTTCACAGGTGGCCCAAGCGTAATATGAGAGAGTTTGTATGGGAAAAATAGAGTTTGAAACTTAGATGAAATAAATGAAGTAAAAGCGATAAAAGTTCTCAATAAAGTGTAAATATTGTTACCTGGAGTCGTTGTCTTTGCTTTTACGAAGTTTCAGCGCGATTTGAGTACTTTTACATCATCTGACCTGACAGTGTAATAATAAGAGATTCTGTCCTACCTTGTCTCTTATTATTACACTGTCAGGTCAGATGATGTAAAAGACGACGACTGTGGCCGACGAAGCTCCTCGTCGCACGCGAGAAAAAACCTCTGGTACCCAGCGAGTGTGGAAAAGCCTGATTGGAAGAATCCTGATTCCCAAACGTCCGAGATCGTTCGCGGCCCCTTCGCTTGTCTCCCTCAGGCTAGGGGTGGAAGCGTACGCTTAGAGTCGTTACTAATATATAGATTTAGCCAGGGCTAAAAGCGAACCTCCAATTTTAATAAATTTATAATTTAAATCAAACAATAACCTTTCAATCCACAAATCATTTAACTTAAGGCCACGTACATTCATGTCACTTTTGAGGGAAAGGCTAAATTATTTTAGAGTGAAACATCTTACATCGAATTGATAACCTTATATGTACCCCCAAAAAATAGCAAACATCTTCGATCACATTCAAGGTCACAGTAGATTAGGCCTCGAAAACAAATTCTTGGAAAACAAATCACGCCAAATTTTTTTGCGTTCGACAGGTTTACTTTACAAATTCTTGTCAACAAATCTGGGGGTGTTTAAACCAACCTTTTATAATTTTTATACACCACATTTGAGGTGAAACAGTACTATTTATCATACAGAGCTCGGACAGAATGCGGTATTTCACAATTTTTCAAGACAAATTGCACTCAGTCAATATTCAGGACGAGCCAAACCGTTCAAAAATTTCAGAAAATTTCCAAAATCACCCATACGGCCAGCTGGTTCTCGTTTCTATAGTGCGAGCTGTCAGTGTGGTCGAGTGTTTGAATGAACTTTAACAGAGTTACGCTTCAACATAATAGCGAATTTATTATTATTTGTTTTGTTATTTAATGGTTTCAGTTATATAACGATGTGTAATCTTATAAAGCGTTTGATACGCGCGACATTTTTGAGTACTCCTGCAAGCGATGGTCATGAACGATGAAAACAAACGGCACGGACAAGCGATTAAAATTGCAAGAGAGACTACTAACAATCAAAAAAAGAGATATAATTCCGTGAAACATTTACAGAGACAACAATTTTCATTCACGAAGACAAGTATTAAAGTGTCTCTAAAAATCCTGAGTCTTTAAGCGTAAAGCTTAAGTTTATGTTTTAGCCGGTTTCCCGGCGCGGTGTTTACTGTTTTTGAAGGTGAACTCCTCCTCGAAGCAAGAAAATCGCTCAAAGTTTTCTTTCTATAGCCAAATTTATAACTAAATATTCTTCGGAACGTTTTCTTTCTATTTGTGGTGAGCAAATATATCTGAAGGCTCTTTAAAGTTCTGTAAGCTTATATCAAACCTGATACTAGGTCAGATCATTGACTCAAATCCTGCAAACGTGCATAAACTTGCCGCATAAACTGTCAGCATGAACTGTGCAAGACTTCATGAAACACAAACATCAAATACAATAATTACTTAGGCTTACCATTCGAGATTCAGTTCCTGGAAGCTAGCAAGGGAGGCCACAGTTGCTTGAGACTTTTAAACCCTCTTACGCATAAAAGCAAGGTGAAAAACGAAAACGATGCCCTCCGAAATCGAATTACCGAATTTTGACAAGCGACGCATTTCTCTTCCAAAACCCAGTAAACAAACCAGCCATGAATAACAGAAGACTCTTGATAGCAGCTGTATTTCATTTTGTACCTCCAGAGGAAAAAGACAGTTAAAAACATCACAAGTTGACACAAAACTCTGTCAGCTTCAGCTGTCAAAGTAAACTACTTTCAAGATGCTGAATAATTTTTCCGCATAAACTCACCTGTCAAATTTTGACCAATCAGAGTATAAAAATTGGACTTAGAGCGTGACCAACGCGTGACCATGGTAAGATAAGGTCTTCCCCGCCTGTACTTTTAAAAAAACTGGATGAGTTTTCGCTTCCGAGGTCAGTTTGAAATCAAAATCCTAATCGTGCGGGGCCATAGTGACATAAACACAACATATTTGATATGAATCCTTGGAAAAAATAAACTTGAGCCTGCGATCATTTGAAACTGGTAATTTGTCAGCGGATAACTTTAAAAAATACTCGACCTCGATGGGTCGACACTTGAGCCCGCGGTACGGTCAGTTGATACTGGTCAGCGGATGCCCTGTTTTGATAGCTGTCAATTGATCACAACATTGATGTGTAGCCTGTGCAATTAGTTTTCTCTTGGGCTCCCAAACTAGCTAAAAGTGTGAGAGTAAACATTGGTTTTCCTGTGGTGCGGACGGACGGCGGGCGGTCGGTCGCTGTACGGTCACGTGATTACCAAATTTTCTGGGATGGGTAGATTTACTTAGCAATGGGGCTCCACCCACGCGCGCGCGTGGAGCTCCGCTATTAAAAAAGAGCATATCCGAAAAAGAGGAAAAGAGCCTAGCTGGGATTTACATGAGCATTCTGTGAATGGTAAAAAATATATCCTGGAAAGACAAGGTTTAATAGATCGTTTTCAGTCACGAGGTCAGCAGCTTTGCAAATTGCTTGGAGTAAAAGAAAGTTTTAACATGTGAAGAGAGTTCATTTCCCACAAGACTTTTTTTGTACACACATATGGCCTGTTGCGGAATTTTCCACTGCCTTTGGAATATCTCTTGCTACCACAAGTAAACGCCTTGACTACGTATGTCCGGCCGCAAACCGAACTTGGCAAAGGCTCACTATTATTTCTTGCGATCTAACACATGAGCGTGATACCTATTTCCTTAACATATCCCACATTATCTACCTTAATTATTATTTACCGCACATAAACCGATTACAATCAAAACCACTAAGGTTGATAAAAACAACCCGAGTCAATTCTATTTTTCGTCATAGGATGTGGTTATACGCCTAAGATAATTTTCTACTTGCAAAGCAAAATCAACTGCCCAACAATTGCGAAAAATAATACTAATAACTTGTTACAACACTGCCGTGACGTCATGTGAAAACGATCTATACGGTGGTAGTTTAGAAAAGGCCGGACCACTACCATTCACATAATAGAGTGCTTTCACGTGATTTCACGGCGGCCATATTGGTGTCCCAAAACAATGAAACGGCGGCCATATTGGTGTCCCAAACCAGTCCTTTGGGAGTTGAACTCTTTTCTTATGCCAACGCTTTCTTTCGTTCCAATAAATTTGCATAGACGCGGGCCACGTGGGTAAAAACGCTCTTTACGCCCTTCCACATATCCATAAAGCACCTTATTTGCGCACCCGCCCCGCCCCTCCCAAAAAAAAAAACAATTTGAATAACCTTTGTCTTTCATTTCTCCTGGGTATTACAGCCGTTCCAAGAGAAATTGAAAACAATGCTTATACAAATTTTTGGGGGGCAAATAAGTTTGTTATGGGAAATGTGGAAGTGGCGTATGGAAGGATAACACTAGTTGTAGCTAGGTCCCTAATTGTTTTTTCCGGATCCGGTAGTTCCTTGTTTGAAGCTCGGGATTCGCGATTAAGTATGTAGGAGATGCGGATGCCAAAAATAACCATCGAGATTACGGGATGGAGCAAAAATTAGGCTCGGGAAGACGGGATAATAGAACCCTATTTGGGAGCTCTCCAGCTGATAACGGGGGTGCTAACACACGGAAGGGCTGCAAGAGGTAGTCCAACAACTGTCTACATAAAGATATTGCTGAGGGATGCTGGCCTGGAGAACGTTGGAGATCTTGAGAGTTGTATGGTGTCAGTTTTCATCCCGTCGTCTTCTAGGCGTCGACCAAAAGAAAGAAGTAATAATTTTGTCAAATGAGCTCTGCGAAGAACTGCTACCGTCAACTCAGAACAACGTTTGCAGAAAATACGATGCAAAAATCTTTACTATTATATACATAGTGAGATATACTCACTGAAAAGCTATGGCGTAATTTTTTTTTCCTACACAATAAAAAGTGAAACCGATGCTTCGCCTTTGGGTCTTGTCTATTACTAAATACAGTAAACATAATACCGTATTTATTCGAATAAGCGCCCAACCTGGAATTAGCGCCCACCTCGAATAAGCGCCCATCATTAAGGCAGAAAAAGTTAATAAGCGCCCAGCCTCGAATAAGCACCCACCCCCACCCAACCCCATCCCCTCCCACTCAAACTCAAATAAGAGATAAGAAGATACTCTCCCGAAGACGGAGTTTTTTTGTCAGAGTATTTTACAGAAACCTTGCTTTGTAAAATCTTTGCGTTTTGTTATTACCATTTATTGCTTTGTTGCAAAATAAACATACTACACTTGTTGAAAATGGTAAAAATTTAATAGGCGCCCAGCCTCGAATAAGCGCCCACTTCGAATTAGCGCCCACTCTCAAGGGCCAAAAATTTTATAAGCGCCCAGGGCGGTTAATGGAATAAATACAGTAAATAAAACAATTTACAAGTATGTGAAAATCATATGAGTATTTACAGATTAAAACTATTTAACAATTATTCTTTGAAATCGAGGTGAATAGTGGCAAAATATTTACCGAGCCGCGAAAGCGGCGAGGTAAATATTCCCAAAGCCACTATTCACCGAGATTGAGAAGAATAATTGTTTTAGTATATACACACGAAGTGATCTCAACAAAATCAGAAAGGAAACCATTCAAAAGTAGGATTTGATTGACAGATCAAATCACGCGTAAGTTTAAAAATAGATCTTTGCAGAATTTTCAAACATGGCAATTCACAAGTTTACTCATTTCGCAAACAACAGCGTAATGGCTTCAATGGAATCGCTAAAAGTTTGAACTGTTTCCTTACCTGAGAAAAAAAGTAGAGCTGTGTTGTTTTCTGTTGACTCGCCAAGTTTATAGCCAAAAGGGCATGTTGTGTCGTTCTTCGCATGAAGTGCTGACAAAAATGGCGGCTCGGTTGCTCGAGGTAAGAGGTCGTCTTCCTGTATCATTCTTTTTCCTGTTTACTTGAAATGTAGAATTTCTGCAAACATTTCCTTTTAAATTTGTTTGTCATAAATAAACTTCGATTTTTGAGCCAAAATTTTCTTCTTAGAAAACGCTGAGTTCGCGAAACGGCTTCTTCTACGCGAATACACGGGAGTTGTAAACAATCCATCGAGCACAAAACTCCTGCTACAGTAAATTGAAAAACGCCGTATTGAATCCTTCCAAGTCTTTTCTTGCCTTAAAAAAAGTCAGCCCTAGGATTTTATCGACTTTTAAAAGATCGTTCTCTAAAAAAAACGGGAAAAACACCGAGCTCACACATTATCCACTCGCTAGGAGGTGAATATTGTTGAATAGTCCGAGATAGCGAACCAATCAGATTGCTTAAATCACCAAGATCACTGAGTGTGTATATACTAAAAGGAAAATATCTTACTAACAAAAAACCATTGGTTTACTTTGTTTGTGTCCTCCAGGACTTGCTATAATGTTGATTTTTATAATTCATCACAATGTTTTAAAACTGCCTGAGTAAATCACCTCACATAGAATATCACCCGCGATATGTAGCGGAAACGAATATGACTTTAAGTCTTTATCTCCCTTCAGTATCAAATCTTATATATCTCATTTTTATAAATTTCATGTACATACCTACTCATTTTATTACTTATTGTGCATTCCACTTCTGCAATAGTTGGTGCGAAATCTAAGGAAGATTTTATCCGCTTAGTAAAATTAATGTAGATGTTAATGTATTGAAAATGGGCTATACCCTGGGTACTGGGCTATTGACTGGGCAGCTGAATGTATTACGTACCAACGACTAAGTTCAGAACGCTCTCTCTCTCTTATCTTTTAGCTTGTTCCATGCGTTCAGATAATAGAGCGCGGAGTTCAGATGGTGGGGAAGAGAGTTAAATCGTACGCGAGGGAAAACGAGAGGAGACTAGGACGAGAGCGAGGGTTCCCTCCCCTTTTCCCTTTCGTCTCCCATCGTTTTTTTCTTCCTCGTCAATTTCACCTGCGCTGTACTATCTGAACGCCAGCAACATGCTACTCATATGTAGATCTTTTTGCTCAGTAATTTGTATATTTCTGCACATGGAACACTGATCCCTGCTTTTATCTCTGCTATGTCCAACTCCTCACGATAAGATGCCGCCTTTGCTTCAGGGTAGTTCACTACAGGTGTGTCCCATTTTTTATTCCTGCATGCCGTGGTTCTTCTTCTATTTCATCTGTTCGTTAGATTTTGTTTTCTCTCTGATTTGAGATGAGACTCTGTGAGAATTTGGAATTACTGTACCTGGAACAAAAGTGACACCTGTTGCTACCTCTCAGTCCGTTATTTTTTTTACTCCACGCTCTCCGCTTCAGCGCGCCTCAAGCGTTCCAGTATCATGGCATCCTTTTCATCGGCTTTAACCAGACTGACATCAGCTCCTAGATCAACAAGCTTTTTGACAGCTTGCGCGTTACCAGATCTCACTGCCATTTGAAGAGGAGTTCCACCTTCTATGTCGCGGATGTCTATATTTTGCACTCCATACTGCAGCAGGAGATCGATTATCTTATTGCAAGCTTTGTGACTGGAAAGAGCTGACAGGTGCAATGGTGTGAATCCAAATTTATTTTGAATATTTACATCCGCTTTGTGTTCAAGTAACAATCCAATGAGGTTTACGACACCATTAATGACTGCCTGGTGTAGGGCTGTATATCCATTACTATCCTGAACATTTGCATCCGCGTTGTGTTCAAGTAACAATCTACAGAGGTTTTCATTGTTCCCTACACGGTGCAGTGGTGTATATCCATCTTTATTTTGAATATTGACACCCGCCCTATGTTCAAGTAACAATCTAACGAGATTTTCGTCACCCTCCATGACGTACTGGTGCAAAGGTGTATTTCCTTTTTCATCTTGAACATTTACAATTGCGTTGTGTTCAACTAACAACCTAACGAGGTTTTTGTGGCCACTTTTGAAAGACGTAAGTAGTGGTGTTTCTCGACGATTGTCTTGAAAATTTACATCTGCGTAATGGTCAAGTAACAATCTCACGAGGTTTTCGTCACCTTTTATGACTGAGTGGTACAGTAGTGTACATCCATCATTATCTTGAATACTTACATCCGCGTTGTGTTCAAGGAATAATCTCGCCAGGTTTTCGTCACCCTTTATGACTGACTCGTGTAGCGGGGTTTTGCCACCTTTATCTTGAATATTTACATCGGCTTTGTGTTGAAGGAGTAATCTCACGAGGTTTTCGTCACCCTTTATGACTGACTCGTGTAGCGGGGTTTTGCCACCATTATCTTGAATATTTACATCCGCTTTGTGTTCAAGGAGTAATCCCCGGAGATTTTCGTCACCCTTTATGACTGACTCGTGTAGCGGGGTTTTGCCACCATTATCTTGAATATCTACACCCGCTTTGTGTTCAAGGAGTAATCTCACCAGGTTTTCGTCACCCTTTATAACTGACTCGTGCAGCGGGGTTTTGCCACCTTTATCTTGAATATTTACATGCGCTTTGTGTTCAAGCAGTAATCTCACCAGGTTTTCGTCACCTTTTACGACTGACTCGTGTAACGGGGTTTTTCCACCATTATCTTGAACATTTACATCCGCTATGAGTTCAAGAAATAATCTCACGAGCTTTACGTCACCCTTTCGGGCTGATACGTGCAGCAGGGTTTCGCCATAAATATCTCGAATACTTACATCCGCTTTGTGTTCAAGAAATAATCTCACCAGGTTTTCGTCACCCTTTATGACTGACTCCTGTAGCGGGGTTTTGCCATCTTTATCTTGAATATTTACATCCGCTTTGTGTTCAAGAAATAATCTCACGAGGTTCTCGTCACCCTTTATGACTGACTCGTGTAGCGGGGTTTTGTCACCTTCAGCTTGAATATTTACATCCGCTTTGTATGCAAGTAATAATCTGACCAGACTTTTGTGATTCTTTTTGACTGCCAAGTGCAAAGGTGGGGAATTAGAACGTTTCGGAACGTTTACACCAGCCCCACGTCTTAAAAGCAAGCACACAGCCATATAGTTGTTCCAATCAGCTGCTAACATTAGTGGTGTTCGTATGTAGTTTCTCCAATCAACTAGAAACATTTCTAGTGTATCTTTGCTTTCTCCTTTGTGGGCATTAACGTCGGCCCCAAGATCAATGATGGTCTCAATGAATTGACTCGAGGATGAACGACTCGCCCACAATAAAGCTGTGTAACCCTTGCCTGATGCTTGGGCATTAACATCAACATCGTCATTTAATACAAGTTCAACTGCCTGTTCCGCATCATCATTGCATGTACCCCACTGCAGCTCAGTCAGTCTACTGTTGTCCTTAGCACACTCTTCATAAAGTCGTCTGATACCATAATGATTTAGTACTTTTCTCTCTATAAGTGATAAGATGTCAAATGCAGTTTTTCCTGGAAAGTTTTTGGCGTTATTTCCCGTTTTTGTAAGTTCCATCTCTTTTACAAAGTTGTCCAAAAGGCCAGCAGCTTTTGAAACAATGTCATATTCTCCCTCAAAGACAGCAGCCTGGAGCAGATTAAATCCAGATTGTTCATCCACTTGTAAGAACGCTTTTCTCGAGAGGTTCCTTAGAGAGACCTATGATGGAAACGGTTACGTTTTTGAGAGAAAATAATCAAGAGGGGAATTTATTTAGCATTACATTTCAACTATTCTTATTGCAGGTAATAGATTAACAGGGTTCCCTGTACTCTTAATGTACACATTTTACGCAAAATGTGATGGTTGTTGGTTGCTATGGCTATAATATATGGCGTCAGCAGGGACAAAAGGGCAGGACACGTAAAAACGGAAACTGTGAGTTTTTTACCGCACCATTTTGTTAATAATTTTTACTATCAAATTCAGAAACCGCAAACGTGATAATATTTATATACCGGAAACTAGCGCGTTGCAAATTTTAATTATTATTATTATATTCTAATTCGCTACCCCGCTCAAACGAATATAAAACATTTATCATGTAACAAGCAACCTTAATTGGGGTGTGTCAACACGAGCCGTGTGCGACCCTCTTTATTATGCCTTCATCAACAGAATGGATGGAAATAATACAACAAACAGAATGACAACTCGGAAATGTAAAAAATTACAGCAAGAAAAACAACCCTACAAAATGATCTAAACTACACTCGTATAACAATGATTCAGTAAACGTACAAAACGTGCTAAACCTTTCATATAGCAGCATGCAAAAACTACGTCTAAAGAAAACCCTGGTCACTGGGTATTTAATTTTGAGGGCGTAGGGACGGACGTAAGACGCGAATGAATATAAATGAGAACAACTCGAATACATATAGCCTACCGCTAATGAAGCAATTGTAACAGCATACCATGTAACACCCCAAAGAAAAGGTTACATAACCCATGATAAATACATTTATATTCTAATTCGCTACCCCGCTCAAACGAATATAAAACATTTATCATGTAACAAGCAACCTTAATTGGGGTGTGTCAACACGAGCCGTGTGCGAACTAAAAGAACGGGAAATACGGAAAATTAAATACCCAGTGATAACGAAACCGACAACAATGAATGGACATTATCCTTAATGTAACCGTCTTTTGTCTTATCGGATTTCCAACGGCCGTGTCTTTTAAACAATCTGTCAGGCACTCGGGCATTAGCAGCAGCGGAGGCACCTCCAGCCCTAAGGCTATGGAGACCGTAGTCTTGCTTTTGGGAAGGCCGATGGAATCGAAAGCGCTAAGCACTATCTCCCGAGCTCTAGTATAAGACAAAGGAACGGACCTGCGCAATTTATAAGCTCCGGTACCGCGAAGGAAAACAAGAGGGCGAAAATGAATTCTTCGCTGTCAGCTGAAAAAGAAGCGGCCACAAAATATCGTTGAACAATAACAGCGATAACAACCCAAGCCCCATCCCTGTAAACGTCAGTCTTACTTCGATGAACAAAGATTCCCATAAAAGAATCCTCAAACTGAAAATCACACCTGCGTAACTGGACCAACTCGTTAAAGCGAAAAAAACCCTGCATAACCTAAAACGCACAAAGGAAGCACTCGTAAATCAGACAAACTAGCTGAAGACGATCCATACTTAGCAAATAAAAGCTGAATAGCCTCGGGGGTCACACGCTCTTTCTTTTTAACAGGGATACTGAGAAGCCTCTTAGCAGATTCTATTAAAGGTAAAACTAACGAGGAATTACAGGAGTCAGGTAGACCTGCCAAATCATGCACCCACTTGAGCCCATAATGGACTTCATCAATAGTACTGCAAGAAGCAGAGATCTTGAATTAAGCTAAGAAAAAAAAAAGAAACAATGAAACGTACACACTAGAAGCGGGAAATATTACAATTTCTTTAAGCTGAGAGGCCCATTTTCTCCACGTAATGAAGCCCTTTTCGTACTTCCTCGCGGTACCGTCGGCTTTGGATTTAAGAAGAACTGCGGGGAGATCTTGAACCAGAGCCCGGAGTCGCCTGTCTTCAACCTGTTAAAAATTAGGCTGCAAGGCATCTTTGAGAACTTCTACGAGGATAAGAACAAAAATATATGGCAAAATTCTTCAATACACGCACTGGGAGTCAATACAGCAATAAAAAATGGACGCTTGGTAATGCCGCTGACCGGATGCAAAACTATTTAAGGCCATATGGGCCAACTCAAAAACGAAGGTAAACAAGCCACTCGGCGAGCTAGTTTCATGCGAAACGAGAACAAATGAACTAACAAGCGGAATAAAAAACACGTGGGCCAACCTAAAGCCACTCGGCTTGAAAAAACTAAGGCCCCTTAGCGCCAATTCTGACTGCCAGGACCGCGCTGTTAAACCTGTCTGAACCAATGAGTGAATCTTTGTAACACCCGAGGGCAAAAATCCCTGAGGGGTTGGGAAAATGAATGTACTCAAGGACGTACGGTTGGAATTGAATTGCATTTGCGAACAAGAAAAGCCAAAACACATTAGGCGGCCAATAAGGGACGACTAAAGTACCAACCGCACCGCATACAAGGAGATGCTGAACCACCCTAGTAATGCAGTGGACGGGAGGGACTAGCCAATTATTCTCTCCATTCCACGAGATTGAAAATGCGTCAACAGCTTCAGTGCCGGGTACGCGAAACCTGGAATTGAATCTGGGAAGATGGGCGTTGGCAGCATTCGCAAACCTGTCGACTGTATGTGGGCCCCAAAGGTAGTCCAAGTGTGCGAAGAACTCGGGGGTTGTATACCAGTCATCGAAGTCTACAAAAATTTGGCTAATCGCATCAGCACAAGCATTAAGTTCCCTGGGAACCCACTGGGGAATAAGTGTAATACTGTAAGCTCGACAAAAAAAGAAAATATCAAGATCAATAGAATGCAATTCTGCCCTAGGACTCCCTATCTCCACAATACGAACGGCCCCTTGGCTGTCAGAATGCCACTTTACACACTTACCCCGAACCGAGGCTTTGAACGCACTTAAGGCAAATTGTATAGCCTTAAGTTCTCTCCAGGTAGAGCTCTTAGCTGCTTCGCAAGCAGTCCACATACGATGGGACACCTCATTAGTGCCCACAACAAAAGCCCCGCAGGCGACGTTGCTAGCGTCCGAATAGCTAAACAAAAGGGGAGCATTATAAGGCAAAATCGCTCTCATATTACGACTAACGATATTGTTTTTCCAGAAAAATATTTCAGAGAGGCAATCATTATGAAGCCCGATATTAAAACGGGAATCCCAACTACGGCGGGATTCTATGACCTTGTAAAGAAAACGGGTTTTGAGACGAGTCAGGTTACCCAAAACTGGCGACATGGACATAACATGACCTGCGATAACGGCACAGTCCCGAGCCGTAACATAAGGTGCGGATAGAAGAAATTTGTCAATCAGAGCGATAAATTTGCAAATACGTCTATCGGTAATAGAAATGGTACCGATAACTAAGTCCCAGTTTAAACCCAACCAAACAAGCACCTGAGTAGGGTTCCATAGTGATTTGGCGGAGTTCGCAACAAACCCCGCACTGCTTAAGGATGATTGCACAAACAATGAATTTTCCTTGGCCATAGGCAGTGAATCCCCTTTTCCGCACCCATCGTCGAGGAACACAACAATTTTAATCCCGTAAGGAAGACCTCCAAAACTTAACGAGTGGTCTGAGACACTTGGTGAAGACGTATGGGGCTGAGCTTAGACCGAACGGAAGTGATGCAAAACAAAATACCGAACGGTACCAGAAAAAAAAAAACAAAAAAAAACAAAAAACAAAAAACAAAAAAAAACCCAGGAGAAACCCAGAAAAGTTTGGTGATCCGGAAAAATATCGATATGGTGATATCCAGACTTGAGATCGAAACTGAAAAGGTAATCGCCCTTATTAACATGTGATAATAAAACTCTCCAATCTTCACACCTAAACTTCTGTTTCCAAATGAAATGATGGACATGACGTAAGTCCAGAATAAGCCTCTTCTTGCCTGAAGACTGTATCGAGACAGAGAGCGGATTAACTACATGTGGAATAAAGGGCACCTCAACGACGGCATGAGTGTGGACTAATTCAGCGATAGCCGACTCCACGAAAGACGCATTATTAAGAGTTGACTGATTGTTAGAAAAACGCGCCTGACAAGGTGTGCTAATGAATGGGATCCGATAACCGAATTTAATAGTGTCGATAACAAAACTATTGGCACCAATAGCGTGCCAATAACTTAAACAGGACCTAAGTCTACTTAAGTACTGGCAATGTAGAATTCTGTTCAAATTCAAACAGATTGCGATCATAATCGAAATCGACTGATGAACTAGAGTCTCTTTCCCTGAAATACTCCAAATAGGAAGGATACATGTCTAATAAATTGAGTAAAGCTAATATCTAACCTTGGAAAACAAGTTTTCAATTCTGTGGTCCTATTTGCCTCCAATGCCCGAAAGACCAGAAGAACTAGGAAAGGACGGCCCTGAGCTTGAAGATCTGGCTTGAGGATTAACTTGACACTGAGGCCTCCAATGACCTTGCTGGCCGCAGGCGAAACAAATATCACTTGGTCTTGGTTTGCTGAAAGCGCCAAAAGTACGAGGAATAGGTCTGGAGGATGATGAATGTTGGCCAGCAAACGCGGTGGTTGCGGTAGATGATTGGAGTTGTGAATAACCTTGCTTGGATGGCTTCGCTTTCTGTTGGCGTTGGTTGCGTTTACGAAGGGCCCTCTGTTCGGCACGGCGGATACGCTTTTCGTCCTCTGACCCGCTAGCCAGCTCGTCAGATAAATACTCGTTCACCAAATCCCAACCGGCGGCGGACTTGTCTGCCAGTCTGATAAGTTTGTTGCGCTTCTTTATGTCAGAGTCTAGTTCTTCCAGGTGAGTTTTAACAAGGTCTAATTTTCTCTTCCCGAGAGCAACTGACGCCGACTTCACCTTCTCTGCAAGGTCGGAGTTGAATTGAAACTGTTTCTTATTACCTTCGAATCTAAACGTGATCTTGGATTCTGCTTTGAGCTTTTTGGCCACAGAATCGGTATTACTGCACGACTCGTCTTGAATATCGCGCTTCAAGGCGCCCAACTTCTTGTCGAAATAATCCCTAAATAGAGAGAACGCGGACGCT